ACATATTAAAAAGACACATGACAACTTAATTTATTAAGACTTACTTTTATTAAAATGCAAGTTTTAACACCCATATTTTTTAGCCTGATTGACTGATGTAGATAACGGCCATAATCCCAAATCTATAGGTATAAGAAAACCTTGCAATTAGGCCGAAAAATCTGGACTGAGTATATTTGGGATTGCAATTAGGCCGAAAAATCTGGACTGAGTATATTTGGGATTGCAATTAGGCCGAAAAATCTGGCCTCAATTACGCGTTATCTCTATATTTAATCTATAAAAATATTTAATAATAAATTATTACTAAATAATCGTATGAGTAAATTTCGAGACCAATCTAAATAGGGAATCCCATTTATAACAAAAACTGGGTCACACCCTCCAAAGACAAATAACGCGTATCCCATTTTCTTCACTTCCTCATTAAAGCTGATCTCCTTGATTTTCTGGAAATTTGAAAAAGCTTAAACCTAAGCATTTTGATCTGTTCCGCGATTTTGTTGGATTGGGATACAGAGGGAGAAGAGGAGACATTCAAATGTGAAATTAGTCCAAATGTGAAATGCCGCCAAATGTGAAATTAGTCCATCACGATGAGACATTCAAATGTGAAGATGATTTTTCTGGTCGTTTTTTCTCATCTTTTTCGCATCTGGATTCTGGAGAGATATGTAGTTTAGGAGACGATGACATCTACGCCAGGCATTTCGGGATAACAACTAATTGGGAATCCCAAATGCATATGCCTCTATTTTACGAATCTTTTTATGGAAAGTTATTTTTTCATACAAAAATTACTGCATTCCGTATATATCTATACATATATAGTAATTGAATTTTTTTGTACCTACTTACTATTTAGGGTTTATTTTTCCATACAAAAATTATATATATATATATATATATACACGACATTTGATAGACAATCCTCTTATAAAGTTTTCTCTAAGAAGAAATATGACGACATTTTGACTATATTTGCAATATATCGAGTAACGAAATGAGTTGGAATTTGAAGGTACGAATAGTGAGATTGTGTCACGTTCCAGACCGCGACAAACCAGACAACACCGTCTCCCTTGAATTAATTATTCAAGACGAAAAGGTGCATTCTTTTTTAGTTGCACTTTTTTTTTCATAAATATTTGACTACAATCTCCATCTTCTGCTTTGTACTATGAAATTCATTAGGTTAAACATATATTTAATCAACTGCAATTTAGATTAGTATTTACCATCAAATATGTTGTATGTGTTATTTTGGAAAGACAAGCATTCACATATTATATATATATATATATATATACGACATTTGACGGTATTTGACAGACAATCCTCTTATAAAGTTTTCTCTAAGAAGAAATATGACGACATTTGACTATATTTGCAATATATCGAGTAACAAGATGAGTTGGAATTTGAAGGTATGGATAGTGAGATTGTGGCACGTTCCAGACCGCGATAAACCAGACAACACCGTCTCCCTTGAATTAATTATTCAAGACGAAAAGTTGCATTCTTTTTTAGTTGCACTTATTTTTTCATAAAAATTTGACTACAATCTCCATCTTCTGCTTTGTACTATGAAATTCATTAGGTTAAACATGTATTTAATCAACTGCAATTTAGATTAGTATTTACCATCAAATATATTGTATGTGTTATTTTGGAAAGGCAAGCATTCACATATTTTATTTTACTCATTGATGCTTCATTGTTTAATATACTCTGTGACAACACCGTACAACTGAGTATTTGTCTGACTAAATATTAATTATGAATTTTTTGTTTTTAGGGCGATCGTATTCATGCGACTGTTGGTCGGTCTCTTATACGTATGTTCAAACAAAAGATAAAAGAATTGAGTTTGTACTTTATGAAGAACTTTGTGGTTGGACCAAATTATACGAAACTTAAATACATGCGGCATAAATTAAAGTTGGCATTTACTCATAAGATGATTGTAGAGGAAGCAAATGATCATCTTTTTGGTATGAGTATCTTCGACTTAAAACCTTATGAGTACTTGATAAACAAAATTGATGTTGAAGAAAGTGAACTCTTTGGTAAGTATTCAATTCGCAGTTCTTTTATTTGAATGTCTTATCAATTTTGTCCTGATCATTTTTCTAAATTATTATAGATGTCATTGGAGAGGTTGTAAGTTATGGTGAAGTAGAATCACACAACCAAGGTGATAAGATCATCACTTATATGAATGTGGAACTTGAAGATCATGAGTAAGATTGCGTCTATGAATTTACTTTGTTATATATTTTAACATGATTACTTATCGGTGTCTGATTAAGTTGTTATATATTAACATGATTACTTATCGATGTCTGATTAAGTTGTTATATAAATTACACAGGAGGAATAATATCTCGGCAACATTTTGGGGAGAATTCGTTGACCAAATCTTGCCACATTTAGAGGGATTATCCCATGAGCCGGTCATAGTTGTTATGCAGTAGATAAAAGATCACAAATTTCAAGGTATTTCTATTGTCTTGATGACATGGGATATTTTTTTATGTTTAATTTTTGGTTCAGAAACTAAAGTTATATATAGGCAAATATTCTGTGCATAATACTTGGCATGCCTCAAAGCTCTGGATTAACCCGGATCTTCCTCAAGCTGTTGATTTTAAGTTTAGATTAGTTATTTCATATATTAATTTATGTGGATACTACAAAAATAATTGTTTATGGTTAAAACTAATACAACCTTGTGTAAATACAGATTGGCAAGTGTGAATGAAGCTAACTCTTCCAAGATCAGTCAAATACCTTTTCAACGTAGTTATTCTGTTTCTGATGAGATAGCTACTGGAACTGTAGAAGTTAAAACTATTAGAGAATTGGTCGACTGCATGGAGGTGACTAATCTATTAAACTCCTTTAGTATTTAACTAATGTTATATTGTGTATGTATAACACTAATAGGTGTAAAAATACTATTTGTTTTCCTAAATGTGCATATATATATTTTTTGGAATCCCTATTACATAAGTTTATGAGCATTTCACAATAAAAAACTTCACTAATAAAAAGAAAACCTCCACTACAACATGTAATAGCTAAGACAATTCATGATTCGGTTGCAGTAGATTGCATACAACAGAACCATTTTTTCTGAAAGACAGTGCACTCAAAAAGTTATAATATTGAATTTATTTATAAAATGCAAACATGCTACTCAACAAAAGGAGATAAGCAACCACATGACTTTGTTCGATCTTAATTATTGTTAACTAAAATATTGATTCACAACCAATTGTATTGACCTTCAGCAAATAGTGAAGCTCCATAAATAATGGATGAAAGCAATCAACTCTTGCAGAATTTGCACAATAACACAAGTATCCTGCTTAATCGTTGATGAGGAATTACTCAAGTTAAGAAAGATCTGATGAGCATTTCACAATAAAAAATTCACAAAGAAAATATTCATTTTGATAGACATATTTCTTTTTGACAAAGTTGGTAGGAAATCTTTGTTATAGACATATGTCATGAACTCACACTTTCTTTACTGTGGAATGGTTTAGTTGGAATCAAATTAGAAATTTTAATGTACGTGGAAATATAGCATTCTTTTCCGTGTGGATTGGTCCTATTTGTTGGGTATTAACATCTGAAATCTTCCTTTTAAGACTTGGAGCCCAAGCATCAGCTCTTGGTGCAGTGGAGAGCAGGGTTAGTAGTGGTGTGGTGGCAATGTCTTTCCTCTCCGTTTCTCGAATGATTACAGTAGGAGGAACATTTCTTTGATTTAAATCCTAAATGCTTCTATTGATCTGATATTCCCTTATGCACGTCTGTTTTATTATTCTAATATGTAAAATTTAACCATTGCTCATAATCTCAGATAAACAAATTAATAATTGAGATAAATCAGAAAGTATTGAATAGAATGCTTACAGATTAAACTATTGAAGGTATCATTTAATGGAACTAATTGAATATCTATGCTTAGTTGCTTATCTATTTGGTTTTGGACATAAATAGAATTTTCACAGCTAATGTTCCTTGGCATTTATATTAATATTCCAACAATCAAATTTGCTAGATACATTGCTACAACTTGACTTCTTTTCAGGAAGGACACATTTGGATTGTTGCGACTATAGTGAATCTTCTACTTGAAAAAGAATGGTCATATTTGGGGTGCAAGAGATGCTCAAAGAAAGTTGACAAAATTGGAAGTAAATTTCACTGCAACAAATGTGATCGCCTTGATAGTTCTGCCACTCATAGGTTTGATAAGCTTCACTATTTACTGTGAAATAGAACTAAAGTTGAAAGTTACAAAAATAAGGCACAAACAGGCGAATTTGTCCTGGAAGCTGAGGAACTGCTGAAACTGTGTGAAACCCTCACAAGGGTTTATGTACAAAGAACGGGGAAACCCTTATGGGTTGTATCCGAAGATATGGAAAGAGATATTTTTATGTCAGCAACAGAAGCCCAAGCTTATGGAATTGTTGATCTTGTAGCGGTTGAATGAAAATAACATGGATTTCGCGCAAATCTGTGATTTGAGATTTTATCTTCGAATTGAATATTCTATTAAATAGAAGTAATTCATCATCATTCGGTTAGGATCAATCTAAACCAACCCATCATATTATGTATACGATTCAACATGCCAACTATTAAACAACTTATTAGAAATACAAGACAGCCAATCAGAAATGTCATGAAATCCCCCGCTCTTCGGGGGTGTCCTCAGCGTCGAGAACATGTACTAGGGTGTATGTGCGACTCGTTTAGATCATGATCTGGCACAAAAGCAAGAAAACGACTTTTACAGTATCAATGATCAGTACCGGTGAATGGGATAGGATGGAAATCTTTACTATAAAATATTAAATAAAACTAAGGTTTCAATTTCTTATTCTTAACATGTCTTTCAGGTACAACCTTCGAGTGCAAGTAATGGATCACACTGGCTTTATATCTTTGTTGCTTTGGGATCGTGAAGCAACAAGTCTCATTGGGAAGTCTGCTAATGAGTTAAATGAAATTTCAATTGAGGTATATTTTTTTTTAATTGTTAGTATATTTTTTCAATAAAGGTAAGAAAGGTAAATATGGTATATTTGCAATATTATAATAAAAATTAACTCGAACCTCCAGTACACCCTTAAATTAATTAGAACTGACCATTTGTTATATCACTCAAAAGGAAGAGCTCTATTATTTTTTTTGATACCATTCCTACCAGAATGAAAAGTAGGATAACGATGTCACGACCCAAACCCCGATCCGGTCGTGATGGCGCCTCTCGTGAAGACAAGGCCAGCCAACCAACCCATTCCGCCTTTTCAAAATAGTTAATATTAATAAACAGTTTTTTCATAATTAAATAACCACAGTCTAAACAAAAGATTTCTTTATTAAGTGCGGAATACAACCCAAACACAGCCCAAACCGGGGTGTCACAAGTCACGAGAATCTATTAGAGTATAAATACAACTACAAGGCCTGAAATATACAAAATAAGACTGATAAACAAAAGGAAGAAATGCGATGCCGCAAACGCTAGCAGTCACCTCGCTTAACTCCGATAACTTAGCCTCCGATCAACTCAAAACCCGCTACCAGGTGAACAAATACCTGCATCTGCACACGAGGTACAGGGAGTAAAGTGGGTACTCCAACTCAGTAAGTAATAAAGGTAAATAATAACTGAGCAGTAAGAAATCACGTAAAACAAACCATCATGCTGTATAGAGCAGTGTAAAACCCTTTGAAAAAAGCAGTGAAGCTGTGAAATCTTTAGAAAAACATCTTAGCTCAGTTTAAACCTCTTTTGAAAATGACTTTTTCAATGGTTGCGCAAATGAATGCAAACAAATAGTGCAGATAAGCACAGAAATTTGCCCCTCGGGTACAACACTCAATTAACAGATAATGCCAGGCAATCAGGTAGATATCACATGATGTAGAACAAACAACAGATAATGACATACAAATGAAATAAAGTAAATACATAGAACAGTACCAGCACCGCTGCGGCGTGCAGCCCGATCTATATATCGCTGCGGCGTGCAGCCCGATCCATATATCTCGTCGACGGCGCTCACTGGGATGTGCAGACTCCGAGAGGGGCCTCTTACGGCCCAAGCGCAATATCAAGCCATCTTGTGGCATCAAATCTAGGCCCTCGGCCTCATATCAATCAACAAGCCACCTTGTGGCGTACATATCTCAGGCCTTCGGCCTCATAATCAAATCAGTATCTCACTGCTGCGGCGTGCAGCCCGATCCAAAAGTATCCTCACAATACAGGCCCTAGGCCTTACTCAGTCAAAAATTACATAAGTCACTCGGGCAACAGTAAAACATGATGCTCAGCCCAAAACATATTATTCGAAATATCATTTCAAGTGTTAAAGCAAAATAAACTTGGCTGAGTTTTGAAAACAGTGGAAAATAACATGATTGAGTTCAACTATAAAATCAAAACAGTGAGGAAATATTAACAACAATCCCCGAAGGGTTCAAATAATTGGCACTAGGCCCAAATATGACATTCACCCCAAATAATGATGATAACAATTAGTTTTCAGTTAAATACGCGATAAAATCATCAATCGGGACGGACCAAGTCACAATCCCCAATAGTACACGATCCCATGCTCGTCGTCAAGCGTGTGCCTCACCTCAATATAGCACTACGATGTGCAATCCGGGGTTTCAAACCTCTAGAGTATCATTTACAATCATTACTCACCTCGAACCAGCGAAATCTCTAGCTCGCGACGCCTTTGCCCCTCAAATTGGCCTCCATGCGCGTTGAATCTATCCAAAATCAGAACGAATACATCACAATATGCTAAGGGAGCTAAGTCCAAGCGAAAACAATCGAAAATATTAAAAATCCCGAAATTAGCAAAACCCGAGCCCCGGGCTCACTTCTCGAAACTCAAAAATTTTCACATCATTAGGTTTCTTATCTCCTCACGAGTTCATACATATCAAATTTACCAAAATTCGACCTTATATGGTCACTCAAATTCTAAAAATTCCCTCTCCAATTTCAAGCCCTAATTTCCCAACTCTTCCTCTAATTTCCATAATTTTTCATGATTAAATAATGGTATAATCACCATAAACACAAAGTATAAAGCCCAAGTAGCTTACCTCTGTGGATACACTTGATCCCCTCTTGAAATCACAGCTTGGAGCTCCAAAATTGCACAAAAATAATGAACAATTGACTGAAAATCGCGAAAGGGCATTTCTATACCTTCTGCCCAGTTGTTTCGCACCTGCGATCCAGTAAGCGCACATGCGCTTCCGCTTTTGCGGATTTCACTTATGACCCAGGACCCACATCTGCGGTCCAAACACGCACCTGCGGTACCGCATATGTGGTTCTTCCTCCGCTTATGCGGAAATCACTTGCCGGCCAAATCTCGCATCTATGATCCTTTCCCCGCATCTGCGGCTTCGCATATGCGGTCCACATAGCCGCTTCTGCGATCTCAGCCCATCTAACCCTTTTTTGCTTCTGCGATGAATCACCCGCATCTGCGGCGCCGCATCTGCAGTCCCCAAACTGCAGATGCGAAAATACCAGAAGCAGCAAATCTGAAGCTGCAACCAACATCTAACTTCTCCGATAACCATCCGAAATCATCCCGAGGCCCCCGGGACCTCAACCAAAAGTACAAATATAACCCAATACCTTATTCAAACTTGTTCCAATCATCAAAACACCTCAAACAACATCAAATCTACCAAATCACATTGAATTCAAGCCTAAGTTTTCTAAAAACTTTCGAAATACGCTTTTGATCAAAACCTAACCAAACCACATCCAAATGACCTGAAATTTTGCGCACACATCCCAAATGACACAACGAAGCTACTGCAACTCTTGGAATTCCATTCCGAACCCCGGATCAAAATCTTACCTACCAACCGGAAATCGCCAAAATCTCAACTTCGCCAATTCAAGCCTAATTCTACTCTGGACCTCCAAAACCAATTCCGATCACACACCTAAGTCATAAATCACCCAACGGAGCTAACCAAATCATTAAAATTCCGATCCGAGCTCATATACAAATAAGTCAAATCTTGGTCAAAGCTTCAAATTTTTAAGTTACAACTGAGAACTGTTCTTTCAATTGCATTCCGATTTCCGTGAAAACCAAAACCAACGATTTACATTAGTCATAATACATCAAGCGGGGCAAGTCATGCCCGAGAACTGGCGATCAAAGTGCAAAAGCTCAAAACGACCGGTCGGGTCGTTACATCCTCCCCCACTTAAACACTCGTTCGTCCTCGAACGTACCCAGAGTTGTACTAGAAGCCAACCAATAGCTAAATAACTTTACCATGCATATACCCGGGGGTGATCCCACGTCACCCTATCTCATATAGGTCCGATAACACATTGCAACTGAAATTACACAATCCCGTATGGCCCATAAGCCATAGAATCACATTTTCACTTCTAAAACCATCAATACGATCAAAACTTCACACCTATACTCTAAATAGACTCGAACCAGCTGTAAAACCCCCATGCCTGCAACCTCGGGAGCAATCCCATGATATACCACATAACTCAAACACTCGTAGCGATAACTTCTATTCATAACAGCTGTCCACAATAACCGAATACTGGTAGAAAACCTCTTGTCAGCTAAAGTCTCATTCCAACACTGTTATATACTACCAACGATAAATGAAACACGCAATAAACCATAACTATTTCCTCAGATCACCCATTCATGAAGCCACTTCTTCTCTGACCAATACCATAGCAAATCTCTAAGCCTAACCTCGATCTTATCCTTCCAACATGCTAAAATCAAATCCGTTCGTATTTATTAATGATCCTAACGAGCTCCTCTAATCCAACACACCACTCTGGTGACATGACATATCAATAGAGGCCTAAGCCACAACTAACACAGTACGCGCACCAATAGGCAACAGTCCGAACATACTCAAATCATGAAAATGACTAAAATGAAAGAGCTGTACCTCAAGCTCACCAGTACCACCACAACACAAGGCTGAGAATCTGTCTCACATCATAGAATAGAACACACGAATCTAACCCGCAAGGTCATATCTCCACATAGCTTCGCTGCAACGCGCGACCCTATCCAAACACTGCTCCACATGAGACACCTCAAGTCACTATACTCGAAGTTGACAACCACGCACAGTTTGATATCTGGAACCAAAGCAAATCATAACACCCTCGGTGAAACAAGTAACATAAACCACGCAACCCGATAAGACATAACTGATATGCCATTCACCGAGCAACACCCAATTACTCTTCCCGCTTGACTTCCACTATGAACCCCAATAGAACCGCACCATATGTGCCCATAACCAACAAATCATAACGCCTTGCAACACGGAAAGACAACTCATAGATCTCCCCCAGATCACTAATGAGCTCAATAACAGTCGAATCAACCTATCCCTCAATAATACAATTCGGGGCCAACCAAGCTGACACAAGATAAAACACGCATCCACATCAACCTACCAACGAACTCTTTATCAAGGAAAACCCTGAAGTTGTTCCCTCAACTCCTAAACTCTCCCGGTGCCATACGATACGGTGCCCGGTACCAAATCAATACCGAA